TCTAGAACTTTCAATTCTTAAATCTCGACACTAAAACATTCATACAACCGAATTCTATCCTGATATCTTTCGAAATGATTCGTACGTTTTGGATCAGAATATCCAGCTCTTTGACCTATTTCGCAAACAGCTTCAGATCGGCAATGTATAATAGATGAGATATCACAGCCTTCTTTCAACTTATATACTTTAATGGTGTTATTCAGCAATTAACTAAGCAAGTTCAATGTCAAACAAAACAGACGCGGCAATATTGAATCTCCCTGAAAGATTTCTTGCTCGTTCTTCATTAGTTCCATGCAGACTTTGTTACATAACAGTGTTGTCCACCACTTCGAACAACTCTATTTGCCCGACAATGAAGTTGTAAAGTTTCAAGCATTCCAGGATTCAGCTATGTAGTACTACATCAATCCTAAAGTCGATCCAGGATATGAACATGTTGGTTTCTCGCATTTTGCAGTATATGTAGCACCTTCTGCGAATAAGATCCTTTGAATTCGTCCGACAGTTTCTGTTCAGAAAATATGTTGTTCGTCTCCAAATACTCGTAAACTGGATTGGCTAACACAGATGTCAGGAGCTTTTAGGCCGTTTGAAGGCACCCGATCATCCTGAAGTTAGAGTCAGACAACTCCGCAAAACCCCTGTTCTCAACCATCAAAACTAGGTGTCACTCATTCCGTTAACCAAGAAAGTGTTCCTTCTTCAAGCACTCTCTACATGCATATTGCTGTTCGTGAATTCAAGCACGATAGCCGTTGCAGTCAAAATGCATGCACCAAACCCGGGCCCGGAGCTGCAAAGTTTTTCATCCGTCTGACCCCTCGAACACATTCTTTTCGGTTACTGTGATCTTTCTTGTTTGAAAATTCTATCTGAATTCATTTGTATTTCCTTTACGCAGGTAGCTTCTTTGTTGTGGGTGTTCTTTGTTCCATGTCCTTTTAAAGAACTACAGCAATTCTTCTGCGTTACGACTAACGGTCTTCCGCATCTGCGGACTGCCCTTTGCCTTTAGTTTTCAATTGAAGGCCTTGGCATTTTCAACGAGGGTCCCATTCATGCATGTCTTTCAACCAGTTCACGCATGTCTATAGCTTTGCCGATACAACGAAAAGCTTCTGTTTAACTCGCTTGCATGCAACTGTGACTATTTTGCCTAGTCTAATCTTGCACTTTTTCATTATATTCGTCGTTGATACCGTTATGCTGCCTCTGTTCAGTTGCTGTAGTTGGTTTAATTCTCGGTGAATCTTTTCGTTTTCTTGACTCTTCTGTGCTTCTCGAATGCTTCCAGCGGAACACAGTTTCTTCGTTAAGACAAAAGCCGTCACAAATATTACAACACTGAGAGATTCAAAATTATTGGCTGGTGTCGTTTTAAGGACTTTGTTGACTTTACTGATATAGTCAGGCAATTCTTTTACGTTCCTGATACAAGGGATACGTCTTCAAAGTTCTTCAAGTCGTTCAAATGCCTGAAGGATTTCCTGTCGATGATCCTTCTTTATCATTCAGCTGCATAACTTCTGTCACATCAGCCATTTCGATCTCTGGTCTCGTAGGTTTGTCCAGGATGATTTCACTAATATATTGAGTTTGCTGCTCCTCTTGCGTAGTGGTGTCATTATTATGTGCTCTTCTGATCCCATTCAGCTCAAATTCTGTTAGCGGAATGTTCTTCTCAATGATCCGCTAGAAGTTGATCGCCTGCATCAAGGGGTCAAATTTCTTCCATTATTGCAGAATTCCTTTTCGATAACCCGTACCTTGCTTCACAGCGATGCAATGGCATCTCATTAAAACCTTGCTTTCCAGCTTCGACCCGTCGCCATTCTGCAAGTCAACAGGTGCTGAATAAAGTGAAACAGATTTTGTTCGCCTACTACAAACTGCTTCAGTTTCCCAACAGCCTGCGCGGTAACTGTTATGCTGGGCATAAATCGATCCGGTACATAAACATTTTCATTGTTATACGTAGGGGGTTGATAGCAATTAGCCTAGCTCCTCGTCTCAAACATGTACAAGCATGGGTGACACAACTTCAATGGTCACCGAGACACGCAAGCACCGCCGCCACTCATTGATAATGTTATTTCAATGATAATTTTCTGCAGAGCATTTACATTATCAATCAGTATAGAAGTAA